AACCTCCCCATGGGCCTAAGGATCCGGTGAGGGTGTTCTGGGGCAGGAGGGCAAGTTCAGAGCCAGGAAAAGAACAGGAATTTGCTCCTTCAAGTCTGTTGCCAGGAGACAGACAGAAAGGGCACCTGAAAACTAAGGTTTAGGAAGTGCTGAGTGAACTGCAAGAGGCAGTCACTCCTAACCAGGAAAGAAGATAAAGATTAACTTTTGCCTGCACGAGCACTTCAAGTCTCAGCACTAAGCACTTCACTAAGCACTTTGTATGCCCATGAGCACTTGGTTAGCGTAGCCCAGTTGCACCTGATAGTTTGGGAATTGGGTAGTAGTTTGAAGTACTTGAAGATCCTATGGAAAGGTGCAATACCGATAAGGCAATGTGCACTTTAGATAAGGCTTAGAAACAACACTAGCAAAGCTGATATGTTTCATACACCAAGGGAGACAGTGCAATGTTGTGCAGCAGACATTTGGGTTGGAAGAACTGGACAAGATTAGGACAGGCATAAAGCATAGAGCAACCAGACACTGAAGCTAGAGTCAAGAGTGTGACAGCTGACTAGTAACTTGCCAAACAAGGTATTTAACAACCAGGCAGTGTAAGGCTGGGCTGTGAGGTAAAGGTGGAGCCCCAGAATCTCACTCTAGAACGAGATTCACTGAGTTCCAATCCAGAGAGTTGAAGGTGGGCTGTGACTGGGCTGAACACCTCTGAAGTCATTAAGATCCATATAACCACATGGCAGGCAACTTAATCAAAATTGCAACCCAAAACTCTTAGGATAAGGCGGCACAGTGGCTTTTATTACAGAAACGGTGGGTGAAGTAGAAGCACCAGCAAGGCAAGTAGGGAGGGTCTGAGCCAACACTGCTGAAAGCCCATTTTGATGCATGATGTAAAGGCAAGTAATATTTGATCACAACTATTCCATCCTGACCTGAAAACTGCCTGCTCCAGGGGAATTTTTCTTTCAAACTAAGTCAATAATGTCAGTTCACCCAGTGCAATGCCTTTTAAATTGTATGCAAACATGCAAGAATATGATAGATAGTGTTTTGGGACATCAGCTGGTATACCCAAGTTCAGCAGAGCAATGCCTTTTTATATTCTCTTCACCCCTGGTTTTTGGCAGTTTGACAGCAAGAAAGATCTTAGTAAAGAGTGTCATCAGGCAAATATGTCCTTTTGGAACAAGATATCTTTCATCCCCATGGGGAACATCTGGCATTTCCTAACCTGAGCACTTGACTTTGCAACCTTAATATTCTTTTTAAATAATTTACTTCTCAAAGTGGTATCAGCAACAATTTGAAGTTGAAGGACAAACTCCAACACTCAAGATAATTGCTTCTAATTCTGCTAGTTTGGCATCCTATGAGTCCTTAGGGAAGGTCTTAAGGGGGCTGCACTAAGTCCCAAAGAGTTTGGACTCTGACTCTCTAGTAGTTTAACCTTATTCTGAGATAAGCTGCCAGTGCCTGAGCAATCTATGGAGCGTTCCCCTTTAATTCCCTACAAGAGCAGGAATCCTTAAATTCTAAACATAACCAACACCAAAAGAATATTCATGAGAGGCATTCTACCAGAAAAAAATTAATTTTGATAATACTGCCCCCTTCTCAAGTCTGAAAGAATGCAGGTAGATGAGTAAGAATCTAGTCAGAGAATACATTTAGTTAAGTCTAATTACTGAAGAGTTGTGCTACTTTCTCAAAAGAAGCCACATGAACTGGATTCTTAATTTGAGATACTAAAAATACCTAAAGTTTTTAATATTCTCCAGTCACAAAAATCCCTAACCTAAGGGAGACTTCCCAGGCTCCCAGCCAAGACGTAGGATTTAGGATAGAAAGCTTGTAGGAATGCAAAACACACATGTGGGACTCCCAGAGGCATAGTGATAAGGTCCTAAGAGGAGGATAATATGAGGGGATATATTGCTAGGTACAAGTACTGGAGGATATACATTTACTGTATTCAGTTTTGGGCCCCCACTACAGAAAGTATGTGGACAAATTGGAGAGAGTCCAGTGGAGGGCAACAAAAGTGGTGAGGCGGCCAGGGTCCATGACTTACGAGGAGAGGCTGAGGGAACTGGGCTTACTTAGTCTGGAGAAGAGAAGACTGATAACGGGGATTAAATAGTGTTACCAAATTTGCCCATTACTTTGGGGTGTGCTCATTTATTAGGGATAGTTTCTAGGGTCTTGGTGATTCTGTCAGTGTGCTGCTTGTGTTACTATACGGAGCTGTATTTCTCCCTTCTGCAAGCCCTCACCCCCAGTGGAGCTATCTTGCAGGACTCAATCTCAATGGGCTGGGTTCCTCCAGTCACCAAATCAGTCATACACACAAACACACACAAGTTAACGTGACACGCCTGAGCTGGCCGGGCTGATCAGCATGGACAGGCTGACACCCTCATATGCCAAGAATCAGTTCATAAGAGCAACAATAAAATGCAGTCAAACACAAGCACACAGGTAAACAGAATCCCTCTGAATCCGGCTGGGTGTCCAGCTGACACCCTCATGGGCCAGCATTCAGTTCATAAGGGCACGTCTGAGTCAAACTGGGTCAATCAGCCTGTACAAGCTGATCCCCTTATGTGTTTCAAACTCAGCACGTCCCAATCTTTGGCCTCTTGATGAGCAGACCCCACAATAATTTGGGCTTCACAGGGATCTTTAGCATAGGTAAAAGAAGCGTTGCTGCAGAGCACGGGAAGAAAGAGAAGCAGAGAAGGAAAAATATACACAACTACTACCAGTTTGACTATAAAAGTTATTTATTGCTAAGCATATGAAATATATAATAGTACTAGTAGTAATAGACATGCAAAAGAAAAACAAACACCAACAATGACAATACTACCCTGGTTTCACTAAGTATTTGGGGAAACTTAGCTCAAGCTTAACTGATACAGTTCAGGTTCAGAAGTTTATGCCTAGAAAGAAGACAGAGAACGCTGGGATCTCACCTAGTCCACGGTACTCAGGCTGCAAAGCTGACAGGCACAGTCCGTAGCACAATCCTTGAAGAGAGAGATGATCTGTTCTTCCAGCGTCCCAAGAACGACAGGGGATGGTGTCAGCACAGGGGTTTTCTTCTTCTCCTTCTTTCCTCCTGCTTATACTTCTTTTCCTTCCTTTTCCTCTTCCTCTTCTCCCCCTAGCAGCACACACACTTACAGATTTTTATACCCTCAGTTTAGCTGCTTCGAAGCACCCTCAGTAGTGTAAATCATTGTCTTTTCTATTGACAAGGGGTTATCTGGTTTGGACCATCTCAGGAAACTGATTGATAATCAGGAAACACTTAAGATTAGGGAGTAACCCAAATACTTGGGAGCCAGCTTGAAATTCCTATGGGTGGCAGATATACTGATGGGATATCTCATGGTTTCTTCAGGAACAATAGATAGCTTGCAGCATCAGGATTTTGGATTTTTACTTGTTGTGCACAAGCCTCAGCTTAGCATGACTTTTCCAGATCTTACTATAGTCTTTTAACAGACTTAAAGCAATTATTGGGGTGCTCATAACCTTTTGTGGAGAGGACTCCCACCAGTCGTCTCGGGAAAGATATGACAACACCTGGGATTAGGGCTCCAGCAGGCTGGATGCTGTGATGAACCCTTAACCATTGTTCAAATGTTGCCCATACCCCCTCTGACTCGGTCTCTTGCCTCAGCATTCCCTAACCCGGCAACCGAGTTTTAGTCAATCAAGTTTAAATAGGCCTCCCATAGTGGGACCGGGGAATGTACGGCCCGAGATGCCTATTAAACTTAGAGCTGTGTGTGTGTGTCTGGGGGGGGGAAAGTCCTTAGTAAATCCAGATTAGAACTGGTCTGATAAATGCTGAGCTGGGTGTGTGTGAACATGGGTTGATTAACATTGGAAGCACAGATTCCCCATCATGCAGCGCTCTCCTGCTTCTCTGGTCCCAGAATTCACTGCAGTCTCTGCTTCAGGCTTTCTGTTTTCCATCTCTCATGTAAATGAATGGTCATCTGGTTCCATCTCGGATGTAAATGAGACCTAGGGCAGTTGATTCACTCGTCACCCTTATCTGGTGAGGGTCTTAGGTGCGTCTCTCACTGCATCTTAATCAGTTTCATTTAGGTAGAGGAGGGGAGGGAGGGGGGAGGGTGAGTCCTTTGCGAGTCAGACAGACTGCATCCTGTACCAGGGTTGCCCAAGAATACAGAGCTGAGATGTAACAATAGCAGCCTTCAACTACCTGAAGAGGGGTTTCAAAGAGGATAGAGCTGGACTGTACACAGTGGTGGCAGATGACAGAACAAAGAGCAATGGACTTAAAGTTGCCTCAAAGGAAGTTTAGGTTAGATATTAGGAAGAATTTTCTTACTTACAAGGAGGGTAGTAAAACACTGGAACAGGTTACCCAGAGAGGTGGTGGAATCTCTATCCCTGGAGTTTTTCAAGACCTGGCTAGACAACGCTTTAGTTGGGATGATCTAGTTGGCAATGGTCCTGCTTTGATCAGGGGGTTGGACTAGATGTTGTACTAGATGATTTTCCAACCCTAATTTTCTGATTCCTTGGGTTAAGCACAAATTCCAGCATTGGACCAAATACTTGAAAAATGGTTTAAAGAGACTTGAATATACCATGTATCAGTAGTCTACAGGAATGTCACTCTCCAAGGAAATATTGCTCAAGAAAGGACAAACAGCATGCAGGTATATAGGTTAAGTCTCACAACTCTACACCACTGGAACATGGTGAAGGTAATTCTCAGTTACCACCAAGGAAGTGTTTTAAGTAGAGATGCTACAGGCTAAAGAATACCCATCAGGAATCCAACAACAGTGAAAAAGTGCCAAGCTGATTCAAGTGTGTCATTATAAACTACATTAATGTTATGCTATTAGTGATACTGTATAAGTGCTTTGTTAATAAAGTGTATTTTGATAATACATTTTTGTTTCAGTGAGGATTTGGTGAATACAGAAGATTGGCCCAAAACATCTTACCTCGTTTCCAGCAGATCTCATTGCCATAAACATGGAGTAATGTTCTCAGAAAATCCTTTGCATTGAAGCAAACAACAGTACCTTTACACTGTAGTATTTGAATTAATATTTGTCTGCATAACAAAAATAAATTCACTAGTTAAATGTGTCATGTCAAACTACTGAATGTAAAATAAAATTGTATTTGGATAAATATTTATAAGATACAAGATTACACTGAATATGAACAGAAATGACAGTTAAAATTAAAAGATTTCCTGTTTCTGTTCAAACAGGGTAACTGAAGTTAAGTGGTTTTGTTCAGTTCATATTATGCAACTAAACCAATTAACAGATTTACTTGAACACTCTCAGAATAGTTGTTTGATACACAGACTTGCAAATGTTGGGAATATAAATGTAGAGGGTCCTCTAGAGCATAAGTGCAAAGTTCAATGCAATTTCCATATGTAGCCACAATTTACCAGTACAAATGATACTGAGCGAGCATGGTCTTCTTTGTTAATCATATTTATTGAATTTAGTTACTGAAAGCTTCAAATTATCATTTTTCTGTACAGCACTAAATGCTATTTAAAAATAGCTTGCTTGTTACTAAAAGATGTTTCGGAAATGTTCCCATGTTTTCGCCTCTTCCTCAACATATTTACAGTTCATTTGCTGTTTTATAGTTTAAAAAAAATATATATCTATATAATGCACATATTTAAAAAACAAAGATTTATGTAGACTTTGCTATGGCTAGAAATGGGGTGTCAATAAAGAGACTTCTCATGAATAGTAAATTGTATTTAAAAGTAAACAAAGATTAAATAGCAGATTAACAGCTATAGAGTTTGTTCAAATGTTAAAGATTCTCATACATCAGCAAAGTAGCAGAGTTGAGAATAACCCATAATTTCTCTGTTTACTGTGTAAAAAAAGAAAAATTGACAAGTTTCTTTTAACTTTTTGTTCAATCATAACACTACGCAGTTCACAATAGATCTCAAGAGCAAAAGATGCATATATGAAGCACTCCAAATTCCACTCCAGTTTGGAGCACCAGAGATTGCCAAGGACAGCTGAGTACACATAGAAGTACTCATTTAATTGTCTGCCTTGCTTTTTGCCCACTATTCCACAGGGAAAAAGGGGGACAGCAAAATACTCTGAGATGCTAGAGGACCAAGCAACCCCCTTTCAGGCTCCAATTGAGCACGTACATGCATCTAGAAGCAGAAAGCTACCGTTTCATTCAGGGTCATTTTTGGAATGCTTCAACCATTTTTAGAGCACTTCACGGGGCACATGCGTCTGTCTGCTTGTCATTTAAAGTACTTCAAATGTTATGTCTGTCCAGGTACCAAGTCATTAGTGCTCATTAGCAAAATTCTAAAGAATTTTAAAAATCTGACTATTTTATTCTGTTTTATTAGAATCTCAATTCCTCTCCCCGCCATCATATAACATACTTCATACACTGGAATCAAGGGGTGAGGACTGGGAGATGGGGCCTAATCCTGGAAGAGGTCAGAAGCCATAGGAGAGGCTTAAAATATTTTTAAAAGATACAAGAACAAAAACAGCAGGGCAGTCTGGAAAGCATCTTTGCAAAGTGTATACTCATACATGAAACATGGGGAACAAGCAGGTCAAAATGAAAGCCATAGTACATAATTGGTCACAATTGGTGACGGACAGAGGGGACAAGGCTGAACTCCTCAACGAGTTCTTTGCCTCAGTGTTCCTAAGTGAGGGGCACGACAAGTCTCTCACTGGGGTTGTAGAGAGGCAGCAGCAAGGCGTCAGACTACCATGCGTAGACCCTGAGATGGTGCAGAGTCACTTGGAAGAACAGGATGCCTTTAAGTCGGCAGGCCCGGATGAGCTCCATCCGAGGGTGCTGAAGGCACTGGCCGACATCACTGCAGAGCCACTGGCGGGAATATTTGAAAGCTCGTGGCGCACGGGCCAAGTCCCGGAGGACTGGAAAAGGGCCAACGTGGTCCCCATTTTCAAAAAGGGGAGGAAGGAGGACCCGGGCAACTATAGGCCAGTCAGTCTCACCTCCTTGGCAAAGTCTTTGAAAAAATTATCAAGGCTCACATTTGCGAGAGCCCGGCAGGACAAATTATGCTGAGGGGAAACCAGCACAGGTTCGTGGCAGGCAGATCGTGCCTGACCAATCTAGTCTCTTTTTATGACCAGGTTACGAAACGCCTGGACACAGGAGGAGGGGTGGATGTCGTATACTTAGACTTCAGGAAGGCCTTCGATACGGTATCCCACCCCATACTGGTGAACAAGTTAAGAGGCTGTGACTTGGATGACTACACAGTCCGGTGGGTGGCGAATTGGCTGGAGGGCCGCACCCAGAGAGTCATGGTGGATGGGTCTGTTTCGACCTGGAAGGGTGTGGG